TCCCGAGTCGACACCCACCAGACGGCCTTCCACGCTCGCCTGGAACTTGCTGGCTGAGAGGATTCAGTTGCATAAACTTGGGCAGTGTTGCCGTGGGGGGGGGGGGTGGCCCTCCAGGTCGAGACCATAGATCACTGACAGGCTACGGGATCTGTTCTGGCTACATGTTGCGTTCGAACCCCCCCCATTCCAGGTTAGGGGGGTCAGACACTGACCCAAAGCCCACCTGGATACCGTTGACTAAGCCGCACTCACGGAGCCCACATTCCAGGTGCCTAACCATTCAGGGTAAACGATAAGTCCGTTTAAACCCTGCTCCAGAGCCACTCAGGGTTTATCTGAACGGATAGATCCACAAAACGGCTTGGATTTGCCCCAAAATCCACTGCTTGTAGATACATAGACAGACTTTATTGTCATTGTACCGAAGTCCAACAAAATTTTTTGGAGCACTGAGCCGCTGCGTGTGTGAGCGCCGCCATCTTGGTCGAGATTAATGCACATTGTCCATGCACATAGAAATACAGTAAAATGAGGCATAAGACATTTATCATCCTTTGAGCTGCGAACTATACCTCTCAGATGCTTCTTCTGACACTTTCAACAACAGAACAAGCAGCAAAATAAAAGTACATTTAAATTAGCGCTGAGCAGTATGACCAAAAATTTATATCAAGGTATTTTTTTTAAGATTCTGGCAGTTTTGCAGTATTTCACGATATATGTATATTTTTGAAGTTCACCCTTACCACGGCAGCAAGTGTTCACGTCAACAAAAAAGTTGTGTACTAGTATACCCGCCCAATGTAAATTAAAAACAAACCGAAGAAATTGTCTTCACTGCCACAGCTGTCTAATCTCCACTGCTTCCAGAAACCATACGGAGAATGAGCACAAAATAGGGGACAGGGGCTCTTTAATGCTGCATGTAAGCCACACCCACAAAGATGGAACTGCTTGGGAGAAGCCGTGGCAATCGCACAACTCACCTTCACCCATGGGAAGCTCATATAGAGCGGAGTGGGATCCCTCAGGCATGGCACTGGGGGCCTCAGGAGCTGTAAGAAAAATGGGACCAGAGTCAGGTTCAGAACCTGAGGAGCAGTGGAGCTACAGAAAAACCACATCATAGCCGGCTTGTCCCATAATGCAAAGCAAGCTTGGGTCTAGTCAGGAGGCAGCACTGACATCCAAAGGTCAATGAATAAAGAGGACGAGAAGAGTTGTTGTAGTGTGGACTCTTTCGATGAGCAGCTGCGTGAGGACGTACGGAGATTCTCACACATATATAACTCTGAAGCACATATATAACACAGAAGCACAAAGACATTGTACGGCGCACAAATCAAGTAAATCACAGTCAGAAGAAAATCGACAAAACACTGGGCAAAGAAGAGAATTCATTCAGACCAAGACAACGCCTGCCCCCTGCAGGTCTGGTGGAATATCACTGCTGTACACATGCTGTATGCTCGCATATGTGCACAAGAGTCCACACCCAAGACTGTACACACTAGTATGAACTAGGCTTTAGGGCTCAAGTTGGCATGGGCTGCACATAAATGATAAAAATCATCCCCAACACTCACATAAAGGTAAATCTTCCAATTACCCAACTGTTAATTCTAGCCTACTCAAGCTTTCAACATCACTACTATCCTTCTCATGATCTCCCAACCAGAAAGAAACAGCAAGTAATGGGTACGTGTTCTGCAGTTCATTAGATTTGCTAGAAAGCATGGTAAGTAATTTCTCGAAACTCGTCAAATGTGCTGGTACTACAGGTGCAATCAGGGCCAAGAGAATAAATGTACGGCCTGAGAAAGCTGTAGTCGTGTTTTCATAAGAAGAAACCAGCAGGTAGGATACCTGAGGTTCAGCATTAGGGCGTTTCCAGCTGTGATTCTGCTGCAAAGGCATTCTACAGCTAACTGCAATTTCAGAAAAGTTTCCATATTAGCTAACATTCAAAAATAGGGTTAAAATAACTAAAGTGATGAGTCTGTTGCAGCCAGCTGACCAGCTAGTTATGAAACCTTCTCCCCAGATAAATGTCTTGGCGAGCAGATGGTTAGCGATGGTGCTGCTGAGATTGAATTTATTTGAAAGTCAATATATTTAGGATTAGTTATAACTCTCTCTCTTTCGTTCCTTCTTTCTCTTTCTTTTTCTCTCTCTCCCACACACACACTCCCCTGGCATTTAAACTCACACAATTTCTATAAAACATTTTTTCTATTCTACAATCAATAAATACAGAACATATACCTTACAAGAGGATTATTTTTTAAGCAGCTTGAAGCTTATCTTTATATTTTCCCGGTTGTATAACGCTACAAGTATTTCAGTATGACAACATGGGCAGTGGTGGTTTAATGGTTAGGGAAGCGCACTTGTAATTGAAAGATTGCAGGTTCGAATCCGATGACCAGCAAGGCACCACTGAGGTACCCCGAGTAAGGTACCGCCCCCAAGCACTGCTCCCCGGATGCTGAATTAGCTGCCCCCTGCTATGTCACGATGTCACATATGGGTTAAATGCAGAGGACACATTTTGTTGGTGAGCACTGTGTGCTGTGGTGTGTCAACAATGACAACTGATAACTAAATTCTGAATGAAGAAAACATGTATGTACCACAAAATATGTATTTGCAAGGCCCCTCTGTGTGCCTCTTCATGTCTATCACACACACACACACACACACACACACACGCCATCACTGAGGTACCCCAGAATGAACTTCAAGGAACCAAATGAACTCCGTAACACAAACTGAAGTACAACCATTCTCAGGCCTGGGTAAGACAGGGGGGGGGGGTGTGGGCATACTATGGCTATTCCTGATTCCAAACGACCAGGGGCCTTACATTACAGGCCCGAGTGTGCAACCCTGTCTGTCTGCCCCTGTATCAGACACTCCCACCATCTCATGCCCGAGGAGGAGGAGGAGCAGGAGGAAGATGAGCACATCAAATCGCACCGTTTTGCAGCCAGCGGAGTCATCCGCACCGAGCTTCCAGGTCCAAGTGTTCCTGAGAGTTCCTGAGTGTTCCTGAGAGTTCCTGAGTGTTCCTGAGAGTTCCTGAGTGTTCCTGAGAGTTCCTGAGTGTTCCTGAGAGTTCCTCACGCGTCACGCTCCCAGAACACGGAAGGGCGCCCCCAATCACAGCGGGAATCTGAGTGCCGTGATGTAGTGAAGAAACAGCAGACCTGTCAGGGGTCAGTCAGCGACACTTAAGCCGCCCCCCCAGAAGATTGATGAGGGGAGCAGAGGGAGGGGAACCCCAAGCTATTTTGCATCCTGTTTCCTCACAGGCTGTAAAACTCAAATTGGGTGCAGAGACCACCCCTCCCAGCTGACTGAAAGGCTGAGGGCTGTCTGCCAAAGGCAAAGCCAGGCCGAGTCCGCGGTCTGACCGCACTCTCCCAGCCGAGCCCTTTCGCTTGTTCCTTTGTGTCCCGTTTCCGCTCAGTTTTAATCACCGCGCAGCCACTTCCTGCCTGCTTCCTCGACCCCCCCCCCCTTCACTCTGCGAGGCCATTAACCGGGGACAGGGGACACTGGGTGTCCACCGGTCACCCATGCTGAACCCACTACAAAAATAAACTGTCACAAACCGTCCGGAGGCCATCAGTCCATTATCAGCTCACGGATGGATAGACCAGTCAGGGTGCTGGACCACCCTACTCTGCCATTTGAAAGCGATCCAGGAGTTAGCTCTCCGACCCGGTCCATTAAAATGAAACCCAATAAAAATGTGCGCATGTTGCCGATTGTCAGTTTTAGCTACCATCTCGACTGTCTTTTACGGACCAGCTCCTCAGCTAACAGTCGACAGCTCAGGCTGCACCACCTAATCCTGCCAGTAGGTGGACCCATTTCTGCAGCTTCTGCAGATCTCCGTAAAGCAACTACACAGGGATGCGTTGGTCACTCAGCATCAGTGTTTCTCTAACCAGTCCTTGGGTTCACGTTTTTTGCTCTCTCCCAAATTCCCTGACTGTCGGGGGGGGGGGGGGGGTCCCTGAAAAGTTTGAGAAACACTGCTGTACATCACAAATCTCTCTTTTGATCACTGAATAAAACACATGGGGCCCAATCAGACGTCACACTGATACAGGAACACGGCCCACACATGGCAGCTCTGAGACTCCACCCCCTTCACGTTCATAACCAGCACATATTACGCTTCAAATGTTCCTGTCCTGATCCATCACAGTAGCAATTGATTCCACACATCCACAAGTCCTTCATCACACCGTGGTGCAGGGGTGGGCGATATGACCTAAGATCATCATCACGGTACTTTTCACGATATTCACGGTATATTCATCTGGCTGGAGTGAGATTTCCAGTTCAAGACAAGTCTGCACACGCATGCACACGCATTCACATGTGTGTAGCGGTTTTATTACCTTGTAAATAGTCTGTAGGGTTTGCAAACTACCCCTGCGCTTTTTACATAGCTAATTTTAGGTTTATAATGGAATAATATAGATTTGCTGTAAGATTTCTTGCGTGAGTGTGAGTCTGAAAGCGTGAGTGTCACGCCAGATGTGTGAAAATGTATGTTTTTTTAATTCTTTCACCTGAGCTGATTTGTATATTGTATAAAAAATAACTTTATACAGTTGTTAAATAACGCAAACTTTGACAAACATGAAGTCACAAATGAACTGTCCATAAAATATATACTGCATTTGAAAACTTCAGGTGTACAATTTCAGGACAGAGCAGCCCCATTCTGTTAGGAACATTACAGCTTTTTGGTTGCAGGTGTTTGATCCGCTGCTGTTTATTAACACTAATGGCACATTAGCGCAAACAAAACTGCTACATGCGCCGAAGTACGTCTTGCTTGGCGGTTAAAGGAGTTTAACATGGGAAACGGAGGTTCTAGTGTTAATTGAGGAGTCGTGGCTTTTGCCACACACCTTACATGAAGGCTGCGGTGCCTATATATGTTGATTTAGCGAATATGTATGTAACCAGGTTGATTTGTTTAATGTGTATAATTACACAAAGTCTATTTATTTTGAATTCGTTAATTTGCTTCAGGGTGCGTGATAGAAAAATCACAGAAAAACGCAGATTTCAACGATTTCAATGAAATGCTTTATTTTTTCTATATAGGCTGTCGTATAATTAGGCTGTAGATGTCTCGCGGTGTTATCGGTATAGTGCAAATCCATACACCGGTGTACCGCCCACCCCTACCGTGGTGCATAGCAGAACCGGTTCAGCAGGTTCTGGCATGATCTGAGAGGGTTCTACTTGCAACCCAAACTCAGGAAAGAGACAGATCGGTTATCTCCTGTTATTTGGACCATGGCACGTTCAGGCCCTCGGGGGTGGGGCTCCTACACGTCTATGGTGTGAAGAGAGTGCAGCAAGGGCCCTAAGGGGGGGACCACTGGTCTGGGGCAGCCTCAGTCCTCATGAGCCAGTTGCTTAAACACTGAGAGGCGGAGCCAAACCAGAGGATCCAAGTGACATCGCTGGGCAACTGCAGTAAACAAACAAGACCGAACGAATCCAGCTTTGGCCAAAGGCGCAGCTGAGACACAAAGGGCTCCAGTGTAGTCTAGCGGGTGGTCGTACGCTACCTCTCGACGCCTAGCACGCGCGCGTACCACGTACAATGGACAATACGACACACACTGGGGGGGGGCCGCGCGTTGATTTGCGCTTATAAATCAGGTCCTGTTACAAATGGGAGTTTGCATGCATGCATTTACACGAGCGCAGTCAGTGTGAGCAGGAACACTCAACTGCAAAACCTCAACCTGTCACAGTGGGTCACCACCACTGCAAGCCCACCAGGTCAGCACAGGAGAACATCAAACAGCAGGGCCCAAGCACCCATCGCGTCCCACTCGGTCGCCATGGGAAACCGTCTTCAGACTGCAGGACATAGCTGTGTCGAATGTAGAAGGTCAGGTACCACTGACTAAAAAACAAATCCAAAAAATGTGCCAAATTAAGACGTCTGTGACCACACTACTATTTCGAAGACTGATTGCATAACCAACATGAGATTATGAAGAAAAAGCAA